AACTTGAAGGTAGTCGGGTCGCGTCGAGTGAGCCGCGAGTTTGGTAGTTTGCGTTGTTCCCTATCGCTGCCGACGCGTATTTGGTTATTTGCGTCCAGAGTTACCTGTCGACGTGGTTGCTTTACTCATAACTAAACCAGATCCATATTTCCGTGTTAATGGATGTTTCAGTCTCATTATTTAGCGTCGGATGATCGTCTTTGGTCTGTGTGCCTAGAACTATCATCTTAGTCATAGGGGCAAATGTTTTTGACATGCACCTACCGTTCTACCCTTTGTGGTCATCTGGCGAAAACAGCTGCATTAACAGTGTGTAGAGCTAATGCAAGCTGCAGCCCTAACAGCAATGTCAAGCCTGTGCACACGGGATCGTTGATCATGAACAAGATCAACTGTCAAGCTCACATCAGCCAGCAGGATGCTGATTGGCCGCGACCTCACCAATCAGAAAGGCGACCGGTTACGCGCGCCTCTCACGCCTTTAATTCCGAAATCTTGACTAGCTCCTCTATTTTCTTCTTCGGCCTCGCAACCGCTGAGTTAGGGTCAGCTCGTCCGTAAACGCGAAGTTGTTTGTTAAATGGAGTTTTATATTTATTGTTGAATGCTTGTCTGAGCTATTCGTTTTTCATGTCCAACAAGAAGTGACTTGACAGTTCCGACGATGCATGACGCACGCAAGAACCTGTTCATGCCTGTAATTAATAATGACGGCAAATAAGCCAGCAGTGGTTATCCCAGTGTCCCTGTTGTTGTCTTCTTAGCCAGAACTCGTCGGCTTTGGTCCTGTCACATCATCAGCAACTCCTGAAGAGCTCTGGGCGTGTGAGCAAGCTTGGGCGTAAATTAAATTGTTCACAATTCTAAATTAACAAAACTTGGAGAAAGTATTGCTTATCGACCTTGCGGAGTCACGAGAACTGGACCTCACGGTGGGGACAGTCCTGACCCTTACACAATTTCCACTGTCTTTGTTGTTGCTACCTGAGTTCACAAATTTGAGTGTTGGTAAAAGTGCCTGACTCGGCTATCCGATATTCTCGTCCCTTATTAGGTGTCCGCCAACTACATCAGCCCTTGGATCTGAGATGTCCTCTACTTTCTTTGTTGCGGAGGAACACGCGGGATTACACTCTGAAGAAAAGGAGAATT